TTTTTAATTTTTTGTATTTTAATTTGGAGTTAAAAGTCTTGTTTGGGATAGACTATTAGCTTTTTAACTTTTTTGTGAGAGAAAAAATAAAGGGTTAATTGATTTGAATGTGATGTTTTTTTGTCTTATTAAGGTAATCCTATTTTATCTTTTTGTGACTAATAATTAAAAAAGTGAAAAGTTCTATATGCGACGAAATTTTAGTATACCCTAATTTTATTTTGATCTTTATTTTTTATTAGTCACATATAACATATTTAATTTAAATAAATTCCCTCCTGTAAACGTTTTGTCTGAACTATATAAGAAAAACATGCTAACCCTCACTTAAAACATTTGATGTCAATGTTCATTGGAAAGACTTGATCCTATTTTTTCAACAAATAAATCACGAAGATAAATAAATACATATTATTTATAAATAAACATATTTTAAGTTTTATTCATAATAAAAGTGGAATTTATGCCCGCTAACTATTTTGTAATTGATAGTTTTGATATAAATAGATCGTTAAATGACATTTTTTGCCTCGTATTGAAACAACGGTGAGAGGATTAGATTATTGTGTGGTATTTGAGAAGTTGGTAAAAGTTTTTAGTTTTTTTTAACTAAAATGTTTTTTGAGTAGTAGTTGGGTAAAAAGTTAGTCTTTTTAATTAAAAAGTCAAAGTTAACTTTGTGCTAGCTTGGGAAAGCAGCCTGTGTAGAAAATTTAAGAAAGTATTGCTTTGATTTGGCAGTGGGGTTGACTTTTTTAGCTTTTAAAATTTTTTAGTTTTTTTAGATTTTTTATGAAAAATATAATGATTATGGGTTAAAATATAATTTTTGTCTTATTAGACTAAATAACTTTTTTATCTTTATGACTTTTTTTTTTTTTTTTAGGCGCAAAAAAAAACCAATCACAAGCCATTCCAATTAAGGGCAAAGAAATGAAATTTTAATGGTCAATGAGTTTATTGAATTTAAAAGTTAATTTATTGTTGAAAAGTTAACATCAATAGTGTCTGTCTTAGTTAAAAATTGAATATTATATTAATTAAATTTTAGTTTCGTTTTTGATATAAATTTTTTGGGTTAAAAAATTCAGAAATAAAATAAAGGCTAATTAATTATAAATAAAAATATCTTTTTTAATTATAATATTTCATTTTTTTCTTACAAAAGTCAATAAATTTATAGTCCTAAACTAAATAGTTAAAAAATTAAAAGTTAACTAAAAAAGTAATTGACAGATGAAAAAATCTTGTTTGAGGATAACATTGCTAAAAAATTAAAAGTATTATTTATATCATTTTTTATATTTTTTTGTACATCTTTTCATAAATCAAAAATTATTAAATAATTTATTTCCCAAATAAATGAATTAAAAACTAGAACGCGTTTGGTAGAGTTTTGAATTGATGATTTGATATGAGTTGGTATTTTGAGTTTGTAAGTTTAAAATTATGATTTGAGTGTAAAAATTTATTTGGTTATGAGTTTAAAAGAATTTAATTGGTTTGAAATAACTGATGTGAGCTTTATAATATTTGATTCAAAATTTACAACTCATAACCAAACACACCAACAAATTTTATTCAAGTCTAAATTTAAAAAATTTCGGAACATATTTTTTATTTAATATAAAAAATACAGGGTGCATTGTATAAAAATAAAATTTTACACTGTTCAAGTATGCAGATGTCGGGAGGACACGGAAGGCAAATTTTAAATTCAACAAATTTTAAAGTGGTGTATAATTAATTTTTAAAAATAATAATAAACTCATAATTATGAACTTACTAAAGCCAGATAATTTTTTTTAACAATTTTCATCATTAGCTAAAACCATCGCAAACGTCCACTTTGTTAGCTTACAAATATAAAAATATTAATTTGAATCGTATTTACATATAATCATAAGCTATTATAATTAATGCATTTTATATCTAATAACAACATTAACGATGGTTAGCATTTATATTGTTTATTGACAATTCTTTATTATACTAAACCTTCCAACCTACTCTATATAGACAAACAAAGACCATCAACTCTCCAGAAAAAGAGGAGAGAGAGAGAGAGCGATCATCGACGATGTTCCGGGGATTCTCTTGTGTTTGATCTGCTATCAGTCTCTCATCCCTCAGCCACCGCTGACACCCACAGACTGAAGTTCCTCAAACGATACGATTTTCTGGTATCTCGTCAACGCTCCTCAGCACGGCGATGACACCTCACAGCCTACATTCTTTGACGAATACGATTTTCCCGGGTAGGGTATTCTTGCCGATGGAACAAGAGCTAAACGAATTAGACAAATCCACAGGCAAATTCAAGGCCTATTTGGACGAAACGTGCACTTTCACGATCCAAAACTACGAGCTCAAGTACAAGTCAACGATCACAGGGGTGATATCCAAGGGCAAGCTGAAGAACTTGAAAGGAGTCAGCGTCAAGATTCTCTTCCTCTGGCTCAACATCGGAGAGGTGATTCGCGACGACGACGAGCTCGAATTCTCCGTCGGAATCGCATCCGCCGATTTCCCGATCGAGAGTTTTGTGGAGAGTCCTCAGTGTGGTTGTGGTTTCGATTGCGTGAATGGAGGAGAGAAGAAGAGACCTGGGTTCGATTTCATCAGCTTTATATCTGCGTTGTTGTAATTGATTGATCATCATCATCATCATCATCTATGGTGTTTAATCTGCTTTTTTCTTTTTTTTTTTCTTTTTTTTTTTTTGTGAATAATCGCAGTCTGAATTTGGAATTGAAGTTGTTGTATTCTCTTTCTGTTTTCATTCGGAATACGCCTTTTTTTTTTCTTTTTTTTTTTGCATGTGGATTACAATACAGACTCATCGGTGGAACCATTTCACTTTTTCAGAATTTTTTCTTTCCTTTCAAAAAAATAAAAATAAATCATCCATCGGAAATTCCTTTTATGCATCTTGTTAAAGATTTTTTTTTTAAACTATATGTTGTTGTGGGGATGTATTTTCTGAATACCAACACGTGGCATGGTGACGCCTGAAGTTGTTGTATTCTCTTTCTGTTTTCATTCGGAATACGCCTTTTTTTTTTTTTTTTTTTTGCATGTGGATTACAATACAGACTCATCGGTGGAACCATTTCACTTTTTCAGAATTTTTTCTTTCCTTTTAAAAAAATAAAAATAAATCATCCATCGGAAATTCCTTTTATGCATCTTGCTAAAGATTTTTTTTTTAAACTATATGTTGTTACATATGTTTGTAGGTAATATTGTGATAGAATTAATATCAAAATGCATAACATGTATTAAAAATATAGATAACAAGATGCATATTATACCCATTCTATTCACATATTATTAAAGCCAACAGCACAATTAAGTGTGGGTTATGATACATCTTATAATTTAGGAGCTTTAATTAAATTTTAATGATGTAGTAAGAAATAAAAAAAAAAATCAAAATTAAAATATCACATCATTAGAACTCAATCATTTTTCATTAATTGTGTGTTTGGTTGAGGGATTTGAGGAGGGATTTGGAAAGGGAAAGGGAAAAAGTATGTGAAACTATGTGAAATATATACATATTTTATTCACATTTTACCTACCTTTTTCATTTCTCTTTTCAAATTCCTTCCCAAATCCACCAACCAAACACAACATAAATGTAGACGAGGCTCTTATCTTATGAGAAGTGTGGCAAGTGTTCTAGTCCCAAAAAAAAAAAAAACAAAAAAACAAAATGATTAATTTGTAAAAGCGTGAAGACTATTTTTTTTTTTTTTTGTGGTAACATAGATGCTCTCTCTTCCCTTCACTTTTCTCTACCTCTTTGCCTTGGGAGCCTCCTCCACCCATTCTACTCCTATCCATCTCAATAATGGCTGTTGTGAGATATGGACAGTTGTGGTGGCGGATATGCCATAACATCATCTAGGTCTCCTTTCCGCTCATCATCTCTCTCTCGATCTCGATCTATTATGTGGTGGTATCAGCGGTACAATGACAATTCCTATTTCATCTTCTACTTGTAGTTGTTCATGAGTCTCACTTTCTCTTTTCTTCCCTTTCTTTCTTTGTTTTATGTTGGATACCAGCAGCCCACCAATGATCTAGTAGTGATTGCAAGTGTTCTAAAACAAAGGGACAACCAGATTCAAGTGTGGCTAACCACATGCCCCTATACATGCTGAACCAGGTTGGGTCATTTTGGTCTTAGTATATACTTTCTATGAAATTTTTCTTTCATTTTTTTTTTTTGGATTTCTCTATACTTAATTTTTCCTTCTCTATAATTCAAATTCGAACTAAAGTGACTGTTCTGAACAAAATAGGGGCCTCTGTTTCATTCAAGCAATTGCATCCTTTCTGAATAGTCATTTTAATGCCTATGAAAAAAATCAATCCCTCACCAATTCCTGGTGTCAAATTTTTTATCTTTATTCTTTAAATCGTAGAATGGGGTATGGGTCATCAGAAGATGAGGGAATAAGATGGATGGGGGGGTCGCAGAATGGATGGGGCTGGGGCTGGGCTAAGGAGCGGTAGAGATGGGTGGAAAGAGGTTGAGATGAGTGGTCGGGAATGGATTAGCAGCAAACTACACGAAGGATCCTCTAGGGTGTTTTTTTCTTAGAATTTTCTAAAGTGGTGTATTGTGTGGTTGAGATTTAATGTTGAAAAATTAATGTGACTTATCATTAAATCTCAACCACACAATGCACCACTTTAGGAAACTTTAGGAAAAAAAAACTCTAGAGGATCCTTGCTCAGCAAACTAAGGTACCATGTGATACACTAAGGATCCTCTAGAGTGTTTTTTTCTTAAAGTTTTCTAAAGTGGTGTATTGTGTGGTTGAGATTTAATGTTGACAAATTAATGTGACTTATTATTAAATCTCAACCACACAATGCACCACTCTAAGAAACTTTAGGAAAAAAAAACTCTAGAGGATCCTTGCTCGGCAAACTAAGGTACCATGTGACTATGTCTTAGATTAAACATAAATTTTCATATATTTTTTATATTTTTAATTATTTAATACAAAATTGTGAGTCTTATTTTCTCTATTAGTCACGATGCATATAGATCACCACATGACATTGTTCTTAAACTAACCAATAACTTCCCGATTGCCAAAGGTAAGGAGGAACTGGAGAGGGTGGTTAGAGCTGGTGATAGTAGTGTGCATCGGGATAAGTTTAGAGTTCGTTTAGATTTTGTTAGAAAATAAATTATTTTAATAATTTTTTAATATTTAATTAAAACATGAGATTAAAAAAAAAATTAGTTTCATTTGGTTTGATTTTAAAATATTCTGTCAGTCTCAAAATATTAACTGCTTATTTCATTATTTTAAAAAGTTAGTTTATTTGTAAAAATTAAAGACTAAAATAATATACATTTTTTATTTTGTTATTCTTTTAAATTTATTAACATTAATACACACAAAAAATATAATTATGACAATTGTTGTTTTTCCAAAAACAATTTTCAAAAAATTCTATTTTTTTTCATAATTTTTTATTTTTACTGAATTTTTTAAATATTTTAAGTAATTTTTTTTTAATTTTTAGACACATCTAACATAAATATACTTAAAATATATAATTTTCCTAAAAAAATCTTTAAAAAATTCACTAAATACCAAAAAATACCAAAAAAAATCAAAATTCAGTATATTTTTCATATTTTTGTGTATTTATTAATTTTCTGAAATATTTTTTTACAAATATTTTACTTTTTAGATATATCTAAGTAAGGTGTATCTAAAAAAGTGAAAAAAATGCTTAAAATTTAAAAAATATTCACTAAAAACAAAAAAAAAACACGAAAAACAGAAGATTCAATTTTCAAAAAACTGAATTCAGAAAACTGAAATCAAATACACTGAATATTTTTGAAATGTAATAATTGTACTCTTTAAAAAAGGGGTTTTTATTGATAAGTCCAATTTAGAAGTGTTTTAACCCAAGAAGTCCATGAAGGAATTTTTTAACCCATTTAGTCCCATGTATGTATAGTTTTATTCCATAAAGTCCATTTTCATGATTTACACTATTTTCTTGGACACTTATGCCCTTATATTTAATTTTGATACCCTTATAAATATTTTTTCAACGACTAGCAATTTAATGATGTGAACATTTATATTTTAAAATTCACATTTATATGAATGTAAATTGGCCCGTGGGCGGCTCGAAACCCGCCCGCGAGCCAGGGCGGGCCCGCCTCGTTGACAATGTGAATATTCACATTGACATGTTAAAATTCACATTAATAGGAGTGTGAAATTGGCCCCCGTCCCGTGGCGACGCGAAACCCGCCCGCGGCCCAAGAGCGGCCCGGGGCGGGCCCGGTTCGGCCCGTTGACAATGCGAATATTCACATTGACATGTTAACATTCACATTGATAAGAGTATAAAACTCTCCATAATTACCCCAAGATTCAATAATTTAATATTTTAAAGGGATTTTTATTGATAAGTCCAATTTAGAAGTGTTTTAACCCAAGAAGTCCATGAAGGAATTTTTTAACCCATTTAGTCCCATGTATGTATAGTTTTATTCGGCTGCTTTTGTTTTTCCAAAAATAATTTTCAAAAAATTCTATTTTTTTTCATATTTTTTTATTTTTACTGAATTTTTAAAATATTTTAAGTAATTTTTTTTTTAATTTTTAGACACATCTAACATAAATATACTTAAAATATATAATTTTCCTAAAAAAATCTTTAAAAAATTCACTAAATACCAAAAAATATCAAAATTCAGTATATTTTTCATATTTTTGTGTATTTATTAATTTTCTGAAATATTTTTTTACAAATATTTTACTTTTTAGATATATCTAAGTAAGGTGTATCTAAAAAAGTGAAAAAAAATGCTTAAAATTTAAAAAATATTCACTAAAAACAAAAAAAAAACACGAAAAACAGAAGATTCAATTTTCAAAAAACTGAATTCAGAAAACTGAAATCAAATACACTGAATATTTTTGAAATGTAATAATTGTACTATTTAAAAAAAGTTTGATTTCTAAAAAAGAATCAATATTTTGGGATGGAGAGAGTATAAGTTTTTTGGAAAAATTTTAATATACATTCTTTTAAAAACGGTGTACCGCACCCCTAGATATGTCATTTTATTTTTTAGTTATGATAAATTTTATTTTTTAGTTGTGCCTTATGTTGTGTTTAGTTATTACATTTTTTTTTAGTTATGACTCAGAAAATTAAAGTTATGTCATTTTTCTTTTTAATTATGAGGTGCATATAGTGTATACCATTTAAAAGGTGTATACTATAGTGTCTCCAAGTTTTTAAAAAATGTTTTCAAAATTTGACAATTTGTTTAGTTATATATTTTGAAAATAGTTTTATAGTTTGCGATGATTTGTAATTTTTTTTTTTAGTTGAATAGATAAGTGTAAGAAAAAAAAATTATTAATTAATATGTAACATGTAAAAGAATGAGTGAGAAGAAAGAGAAAAAATATTTGATTGTGTGTCTAACGTGAAAGAATGATATAGGAGATAAAAAAATGAGTGAAGACAATTTTGATAAATTGTAAACCAAACAAATTTTGAATTTTAAACTCTCAAAATTGATTTGAAAACTAAATCAAACAAAGTGTAATAGGTTAAGGATAACTTTTTGCCTTTTTTTAAAAAAGGACAAAAAAATAAAGAGAAAATAAAAAAATTAATTTTTTTTATATAATTTATTAACTTTTTTTAATGATTTTTTTTTTCAATTTTTAGATTAAATAATGAAGTTGCCAAATGAGACTTTGGAAAAATTAGGAATAAAGATAAGATTGAAATTATTATAAGTTAAAATGTGAATAAAAATTTATATTTAGCAATTTTTTTTTTGACTTTTTAAAAAAATTACAAAAAAAAAAAATAAAGAAATCAAAGTTTATTTCTGAAACCTCAGGGGTATCTGTAATTTAGCCAAACCTCGAGGGGTGTATATGTAATTTGCCCAAATTTTTTTATATAATTTATTAAATTTTTTTAATAATTTTTTTTTTAAGATTAAATAATGAAGTTGCCCAATGAGACTTTGGAAAAATTAGGAATAAAGATAAGATTGAAATTATTATAAGTCAAAATTCGTGTAAAAATTTTTATATATCAAAATTTTCAAAGATAATATTTGTTAGGGAAAATTAGTCTAGGGTCCCTCTCCCACTTTTCGTAATGGAAGAGATCCACAAAATTATTTTTTGATGTCTGAGGTCCCTAAACATATATCAGAGAAATTTGACTCTTAGAACTAAATGAAGAAATGGTCAAAATGTTGTTCCCAAAGAGGCGATGCTGCTTCTGCGTCCCTTGTGTCGACGGTTTGAACAGATCAGCAGCGGTGGGAGTGCAGTGGTGGCAGAGAATGGGGACGAAGGAGGAGAAGGAGATGTGATGGGATCGGGGGATCAACGCTCTGAAGAAGCTTCGACAGTGGTCGGAGATCGTCGCCTCGAAGCCATGAGAGAAATCGGCCTTCAAATCAACCACGAAGAGAACGCCGATCGTTGCTTATTCTCATTCTGTTATTCATCGGAGTGGTGGGATCAATAACCTATCTTTTTTCATGCAATGTATTGAAGGAATTTAGGCTTCTGATGAAATCCATCAGTTAGTTGCTGCATTTAATTTTCATCACATAGTTTGAGGTATTACTGTATAATCACTAATCTTTAAGTGGTTTGTTTTAGTTGGAAGTTCAATACTTGCATGACTATGCGGGGATAAGAACAAGAATTGGGTTGACGGCGAACCCCATCGTCAACTTCTCAGGTGTGTTGGGGAGCAATGTTATTGCACTGGGGACTGATGTCTCATTTGACACCAAAACAGGGGAATTCACCAAGTGTAATGGATTGAGCTTTTCCAATGCAGACCTTATTGCTTCATTGACCCTGTGAGTAGTTTCATCTTTTAGAGGATTATTTACTTCTTTTATGTTTTTAGCTGTCTACAATTTGCGGTAAAATCTTACGGTTAATAGGAGAATGGGTTGCTCTCCATTTCTTATTTACATATTAATATTTATGTGGATTTTGGTTCATGTTGATCATTTAATGAGAAATTTCCTTCTCCTCCTATCTTGAGTATGTGATTTGGTCAGAGAAATTTGGGAATTTCTTTGATTTGGAGAGAATTTCTCTGTGAAGCCACCAGAGAAATTCTCTGTGAACCAGAATTCTCTGTGAAGTTCAGAGAAAATTCGACTAGAGTGAATTTCTCTGAATTGAATTTTCTCTGGTTTGGACCAGAGAATTTCTCTGGATTAAATTGAATATTCTCCGGTTTTGGACCAAAGAATTTCACTGAATTGAATTTTTTTTGGTTTGGACCAGAGAATTTCTCTGGATTAAATTGAATTTTCTCTGGGTTTGGACCAAAGAATTTCACTGGATTGAATTTTCTCTGGATCGAATTTTCTCTGCTCGAATTTTCTCTGGATTGATGTTAAGGGACCTTAAACATTATAAAAATATTGAGTGTCCTTTATACTTTTAAATCATAATACCAGGGACCTTAAAAAAAAACTCCTAATTGTTATTATTTATCATTTTTTCCAATGGAGATTTATCAATTTTTCCTTGCTGTATTTTGATTTATGCACAATGTTTGGGAAGAGTTATTTGTGTTAAAATAGTTAATAAAAATAAAATAAAATAAATTAAAATAATTAATAAAATAACATATTATATTAAATTTATAATTATTTTATTTTTTCTTTCACAACTGTCAAATTAATTAAAAATACTTATTATCTTTTTAAACATAATTATTTTAATTAAATTAAAATAATCAAAAAAAATTAAATAACCAAGGACATAACTGAACAAGATACAACTAAACAAAACAAATCCTCTCTTGAGAAAAAAATAACATTAGTGCACCCATATTCTACCCCAAAAAAACAAAAACACACAAACAAAAACAAAAACAAAAACAAAATTAAAATTATGATCACCATAAATCCCACACTAGTCGAGAAAGTTCGTTCACATCAAACCACAATGTCAATCTCAATTTCTCAGATTATCCTTCTCACCTTCTCTATTCTCTTCCTCTCTTCCTCCACAACCCCACCACCAGTCGCCTCCGCACACGGCGGCGAAACACTCTCCGCCTATGAAGTCCTCCAATCCTACGATTTCCCTGAAGGCCTCCTCCCAGAGGGCGTCACGGGCTACGATCTCGACACAAGCAGTGGCAAATTCAACGCTTATTTGAACGGTTCGTGTAGTTTCTCTCTGGAAGGTTCGTACCAACTCAAATACAAATCCACCATTAGTGGCTACATTGCCAAAGACAGGCTTACGAGCCTCACTGGTATCAGCGTGAAAGTTCTCTTCTTGTGGCTCAACATTGTCGATGTTGTTCGAAGCGGCGACGAACTCGAGTTTTCTGTTGGGATTGCTTCGGCCAATTTTGGGATCGATAATTTTGAGATTTGTCCGCAGTGTGGGTGTGGATTGGATTGCAATAGCAACGTGCAAGTAAGAAAATTTTGGAAAAACCCTTCTGTTTCTGCAATTTAGGGTTTTGTTGATTTTGGGATTAATTAAGATTGGTCTTTTTTTAACTATTCGCTATGTATTTTTTTTTTTTTAAAATTTAATTTAGAACTAACCCATGAAATCTAAGTTGACTGTCTGATATGATGATGATTTTAGATGCATTGATAGCTACTGGAATCTTTGATTTTTTTTCTTGGGTATTTGTTGTAATCAGCTTAGGAAAATCCATAACAAGGCCATAGCAATTTTTAAAAAATTACCGACCCGTTTGTATTTGACCCAACCTGATTATGATAGAAAAGGTTTGGGAGAGCATTGATAGGACAGGCTAGGGTAGGGTCGAGCATGGGGTAGGTAGGTCAAAATTGTAAGGATTAGGGTAAAATGTGTAGTTGCTTCAAGAATTCACGTGTGAAACCTGAAAAAACCTGCCATCCCTTGTTTTTGGCTCACTTTTTCAGTAGTGGAATTTTCTCATAGTTATGCTTCTACATGGTGAATCTTATATTGTTTATCAGAAATCCGTGGTGCCTCGAATTGAGCTGCCTCGAATGGCTCGAGTTTGTGTTCACTGGTCGACCAGGCGGACGACTGAGTGAAACACTTGTCTACCGTGATTGTCACCTTGTCGACCGTGTCCGTCAGCTTTTTTGTTGGACGACCGGCAAAATGAAATTCGAGCTATTCGAGGCAAGTTCAATTTCAAAGTACGTAGTATTGCTCCTTGTTTATGTGTTTATACTATCAATTACATTTGGGATTTGATGAGCTTTTCATTATTAGTGAGGGGCTAGGGTATGGAAGAGGAGGAAGCAGGTGTGGTGTTTGATTCCCTTATGTATTATGCAGACCCCATCTTTGGGGGAGAGAATCATTGATCTTTTGATAGTATTATAGAGGTCTCTTTGTATATGCTCAAAAAGTACACTCGTAAATTTTTTTTGTATTGTTAGGAGTCGGGAGTTAGTAACCCTTCTCTTGACCAATATAGAAGTAACCATGGCATATGAGATAAAGGAGGGAGGTAAAACGAATTATGTATTCCACTTTAGACGTATACATACTTTTTTATTTTTTCCAACTCAATATTATTTCCTTGTACTCCTTGTGTGAGAATAGCAGAAGTTTGTTACCTGGTAGTCACCAAGACTACGAGGCGCCTCCCACAGGTTGAGTCCCTGTCAAAGCTCTTTTTCACTTAAAATGCAGAATAATTTCTGTTAAACAAGTTTGCCCTCAAGAAGTTGACATGAATGTTGATGTTTCTGGAATTAGATTTTCTCTGCAGTATTTTAGGATTAGATGTTAAAGCAATAGTCTTAAGTCTTAGGTGAATGAGGCAAACATAAAGTTGAGGCATGTGCCAAAGGACAACATGATATTATGAATGTAGAAATGATATTGCAGGGCTGACTATGAGGACAAGAAGAAGTAATTCCAAAACTTATACTTGAAACGAAAGTGTAAAAAAATATGATGACGATAAGCAAAGCTCATTCTCTGTGAGGTTATTTTTGAGTTTGTTGTAGCAAGATGCAGATAATAACTGCATGGAGTTTAGCTATGATTCATTCACTGGGTAAAAACTAGTGCTAGATTATGAATACTTCTGTAGTGGCATACTTTTGTAGTTGAGATGAATGATTGGATATATGTTAAGAGTTTTAATGATTTATTGAGGGGTATGTTTCTTATTGAGAAACTGTAAAAAAGTATAATTTTTTATGCTGGTTGAGGCAAAGGAGATATCTGATTGTTTGATCTTACAATTCTAATTGAGGGGCATGTTTCTTATTGAGAAACTGTAAAAAAGTAGAATTTTTTATGCTGGTTTAGGTTAAGGAGATAGCTGATTGTTTGATCTTACAATTCTATATCGGTGAATCTACATTATTAACCTCCTTTTGATTGCCTAGAAAAATTGTTGGAAAATAAGTGGACACTTCATGGCAGGTTTGGGTTGGGATTTCATGTGGTGATCTGAGGGACATCCATTGGGTGATCCTGCTTTCTCCTTGCTATCCAGATAGAAAATTCAATTAAATGTGTATGAAATAGAATCTCATAATGTTAACATGACTACTTGACAGTTCTGGCGATTCCCCTTAGCTTCTATGCTTTCAATATAGTTTCACATTTTTTATTTGTTCTCAATTTAAAAATATTTTTTTAGGCTGACCCCGTCATTTTGTAGGGGAAAATGTGTTCACTGTAGGCTTATGTGGTCTTGGCGTTCTGATTTTCACTTGGCTCATCAGATTAGATTGGTGTTTTTGTATATTTCCTCTTATATTTTTTCCACAGGGTGGAGTTGAATCAAGAATACTGATATATATTATTCTGAGCAGTGCAGTGACCCTTTTGTTATTTGTCGTTGTTACAAATCCAATTTCGATGTTTTCTATTTTCCTACATTCAAAAATATATGTAGAGCTGAATTGTGTTGGTAGTTCTATGATTAGGTCATATCATATACGTTGAATCATTTGTGAGGGTCATAAGAGACACGAGTTTTTTTGTGTTTACCAGGGTTAGTGATCACAAAACAGGCTGGGATGTCAGCTTCAGTTTTCTTCTTCTCTTTTTGCACAGCTTTTAGATGTTTCTGTGATACAAATTCATTATCAAGGATTAAGATACCATCATTGAGTTTTTTTTCCAAAAAAAAACTATATTGCGTGATCCCCTTGTTGAATCATGTTTTAATTGGTAAGACAACGCGTGCCATATGTTTTGCTTGATTATCAACAAATTCATATTTTGTTCAATAATATCAGTAGCATAAGGGACAATATGGAGGCCGGATGGGCTGGTCATTGGAAAAAAAAAAAACTACTTTAGGTCATTGGCAAAAACTTTAGGTTCAAACCCTTCCCAATAAACTTAGCTCAGATGATCTAGCGGGCTGGATTGCAGGCTAAGATTCAAGCCTATTTTTGGGATTTTTTATTATTATTATTTATATTTTGCCTTTTTTTTCTTCTTCTTATTATTTTTTATATTTTCTATCAAGTCTAATCGCCATTCGCCACCTCTAATTCACAAAAAAAAAAAAAAATATCGTTACCTTTCATGGGTAACAAGTTGGGCTATTCAGTCGGACTTGACTTTAAACATCTAGAAGTAGTTTAGACCAAGCTTTATTTGACCTTAAAAAAGGTTACGACTTCTTGGGGTGGTGTTGCAGAATATTATGGCATGGTTTGGCAAGTGGGTTTGGATAGATTTGGGGCTATTTTAGTCATAAAATATAAAATAGGCTATTTTAGGCACAACAAATAAAATATCACATCTAATCCATAATTATTACACTCCTCTCACAAAAAAAAAATAAAAAAATTCAAAAAGTCCTTCCCAAATTAAGTTTTTTAGCTCAGGCTAAAATAATAATAAAAATCAAAAAGTCAACCCATTTCTCAAACGACATCTATATTATAATATGTTGCGGTAAGGTGTATAGAGTATATTTAGGGATACCAAATGATCAAATGTATCACAGATTTCACATCCATGTGAGATATTTAGTCATTTATTTAGTAGAAAATTTGAGACCACTAATATTTTTCATCTCTTTTGATTCTTTTGATGGTGCAAACAGTAGTGGTAAAATCCTCATTAATAAAGGTATAAGCATATTTATATTTTTTCTCGGTAAACACCTAATCAATCTAGATATCCTAGAAGGCATTTGCAGTCACACGTGGTTGGGTTTGTGATGATTTCTCCTGCCTGATTATCTTAGTTAAATATCGTTTATGTATATATATAATTTATTTTTGTCAAGTAAAATAATATTAAAATATTTTCATTTTTTTTTTTGTCATATCAGTATTTGTCATCTTAATGTTTTGAATTCATATAACTCATCAATTATTATTTCTCACGTGTTATATCAATTTTGTCCCCTCTTAAAGGTTGCAAATTACTCTCCCCGTTGATGTGGAGTTGGGACTAGATAGACTGGATATAAACAACATTAGTGATAGGTGTTTCAAAAAACCCCATGAAACCCAATAGCTTGCTCTGTGTGCCCACCCAAGTTGCAAAAACTTGGTCCACATAATTGGTTAGCTGTGTTTGTTTGTTTGATGAGAAAAGCTCTTCTCCACGTCTCTGTATCTTCTGTATGAAATGAAAGTAGTGGTGGTAAATTGGTAATGATGTGAAATTGTAAATTCATCTCCTTTGGCAAGTAATGCCAACCATTTTATTAGGTCAACCCACGTGTTGGAAATATGTATATATATATATATTCATCCATTTTGATCATTTTACTTGTTCCCCAATCACATCCATGAATTTGGTTTGAAGTTTCAACTATGCATTCATGTTAGACAAGCCAACCATAATTTATTTCTTTATTATCTATTTATATTTACATTTTAAATATCATCTCATACGTAATTATAACATTAATATAAGTCCTAAATAAATCTCATTCAGCTTGTTTAGTTCTGCTTTTAGAAAATTTTACTTTTTTATTTTTTATATTTTAATGTTTTTAATTAATTTTTTAATATTTTTAGTAATTTTTTTTTAATTTTTAGACACACCTAACATAATTACACTTAAAAAGTATAATATTTGTATTTTTTTAAAAAAAATATACTAAATACCAAAAAATAAAATGAAATTAAAATTTAAAAAATATTCACTATAATTAAATAACATAAAAAATAAAAAACTTAATTTTTAAAAAATTAAATTCAGAAAATTAAATCCAAACACATTGATTAATATTCAATAATTGTGTTTGTGTCATATGAGGTGAGATTCCTGACTTCCTCTCAATTATTGTGTTTATGTCATATGAGGTGAGCTTCATGACTTCCTCTTTTGACTTGGAGAGCTTTAGCTTGATGGTTGTGTATGTGTTAACAATGCCATACGATGTTTTGTCAATTCATTCATTTGAAATGTAAATATAAAGAGGGTGAGTGAGTGTAACAATATTGTAAGGAAACAAATATAAAAATTATAGAAATCAATTATAAAATCATATAGAAATTACTATATAGGTGTGATCGTGTGTCTATTCAATAATGTATTGTTATTTCTCTATCATTCCTTTGGTTTTGAGCCTACGTAACAATTAGACTCTTGCTAATTTCAAGAAGTCAAAATAGTTTTACTCTCTTACATGTGAGGGTTTTACCCTTCTTTGGATTTTACACCCGAAGAAAGGTTGAATTTCTCTCAAATTTAAATTTGAATTTAACCATGTGGTCACAAACTTTGTTTCAACGATCCAAACTATTTTTTTTGTCGAGTTCTCAATGTATATTATCAATGAAAAAAATTAAGTCGATCCGATAATCGTAATATTTGTTTTATCATATTTGTTTATAAGAAAAAATGAATGATTTATTTTAAAAAATATACTTATTGTTTATCTTTATCAAGTTTAAAATGATGGTAAATTTTTATTCAGTCATTTTTATTTTTTATTTTTTATAAATAGAATAACTGTATTATAAATTGTTAGGCTTTGGCCTATTTTGAGAAGTGCATTGGAAGTGGGTTAAAAGTTACTTTTCAGTTTTTAACCTACTTTTCTTCTCACAAAAATAAAATAAAATCAAAAAGTCAAAAAAAAAAAAATTTAAAAATCAATTTTTAACTATATTTCTAAAACACCCATTTGTGTATAGACTAGTTGGTGCATACACCTTTCGGTGCATAAGGGAAACGCGGGAGAAGACTATTTTATTTTTTATTTTTGCACAAAAAAGTCAAACAGAAAATATACCAATAATAATTTATTTTATAGATTGTTGAAATTATCTTAAATTGTTACCAGGTTTAAAATATCGTGTATTTTTTTATATTAAAATATATACAATTTTATACTTTATTAATTAATATCTTATAGATTTGGTGATGAATACCTAACTATACTGTTATGGAGTTTAAAATAATTGTATATTGTTTATAAAAAATTTTATATCTTAAAAATAATATGACAATTTTTTATGGGCATGGTCCACATGGCCTAGGACAGTCCAATCTACAGCTGCCTTGGGTGGCCCAAATAGGCATTTAGTCACAGCAGGCCCACTGAAAAACCCACATTGACTCAGACCTTGTGGCACTTAGACACTTGTTAGGCAAGGAGTTAGCCACGTGACAGACCAAAATTTGGCAGAGTTATTGAGTCTAGGCATCAAGCATTAAATAAAGTTGTCATGGCATTAAATTCAACAAGACCTCTCTTTCTTGGGTATGGTGAAACTGCCATGGCCGACGGCAAGTAGACTCTAGACTTTCGGCCAATAAAACAATTTGAATGGACAAGGAAATGATGAAACAAAGATATAAGGAAGCTTGTGAAGAATGTTAACAACAAAAAGTAACAATATCTCTCTAACTCCCCACTCTCTCTCTCTCTACTTCTTTATCACTTCTAATCTAACTTGATCGACGGAGTGTCCACGGGGAGAAACCACTCCGACCTTAGTACCTCTTCACCGGACCTTTTGCAAGCACGCGTTAAGGAGATGAAGGCCAGTAGACTTGTTAGACGCATGGATTAGTCCAACCCATCCTTCATTGACTACAATGCATTATCAATTTTAAACTTTATTTAACAAAACTCTTATTTAAAATGAGTGATACCATTATTGTGTTAAAAATAAATAATCATATAAATTTTGTAACTAAAATACTATACAAATTAAAAAAATTATTAATGAATATAGCATGCACTAGGCAAGTGAATTTTTTGAGAATTTGAAACATGATTCACTCAAATTATAAGGTACTTAAGTCATAGTTCTAATTTTAAATTTTTTTGGGCAAAGTCCTAAATTTTATTCTTTTGGGGCTAAAAAGGTAATAATAATTTGAAACACCATATTATTCTTACATATCTATCTATTTGTTCACCGTCCACCTATTTGTCCAACTCACCTATTTATCTAAATGTCATCTATTTGTTCATATGTCACTATTAGTCCACTTAATTTGCCTATTTATCCATGTCATCACCACCACCATTTGCCACTGTCAGCCACTTCGATGGCTTTTTGGGCAAACTTTTTGGTAATAGATAATTTTTTGACAACTAGTTGGCATGGTGGAGTAAAAATTATAAAAAAAAAATATTTCGAAACAATAATTTGTCGTTATCACTAAATAATTCATTAAACATATTTTTATCACCAAAAAAATATTAGACTTTGGATCCAATAACATATGACCTCATAGATGTGAATTTTTACCAATCATTCCTAAATTATATGATATGAACATCGAGTAATGAAAATTATAAAATTTTTACAGGTAAAATATATGATATGAATTTTTTAATATTTTAAGGATTTTTTTTTATAAAATTTGTAGACACACCTAACATAATTACACTTAAAAAGTATAATATTTGTGAATTTTTTTTTTAAAAATACACTAATACCAAAAAATAAAAATAAAGTACATTTTTTATATTTTTGTGTATTTATTAATTTGTTAAAATATTTTACTATTTAGATACATCTAAGTAAAGTTTATTTAAAAAAGTAAAATATTTCTTAAAATTTAAAAAATATTCAACAAAAATAAAAAAACATGAAAAATAAAAAATTTAATTTAAAAAAAATTAAATTCAAGAAATTAAAATCAAACACATTGGTTAATATTCAATAATTGTGTTTGTGTCATATATGAGGTGATCCTCATGACTTCCTCTCAATTATTGTGTTTTATGTCGTATGAGGTGAGCTTCATGACTTCCTCTTTGACCAGGAGAGCTTTTGTTTGATGGTTGTGTATGTGTTAACAATGCCATATGATGTTTTGTCAATTCATTCATTTGAAATGTAAATATAAACAGAGGGTGAGTGAGTGTAACAATATTGTAAAGAAACAAATATAAAAATTATAGAAATCAATTATAAAATCAGACTTATTTTTCTCACACATAGAAATTACTACATAGGCGTGATCGTGTTTCTATTCAATAACATATTGTCATTTCTCTATCATTTCTTTGGTTTTGGGCCTATGTAACAATTAGACTCTTGCTAATGTCTAGAAGACAAAATAGTTTTACTCTCTTAGATGTGAGGGTTTTACTGTTTTGCGAATCTCACACCTGAAGAAAGGTTAAACTTCTCTTAAATTTAAATTTGAATTTAATCATGTGGTCACAAATTTTGTTTTAACGATCCAAACTATTCTTTTTGTCGAGTTCTTAATGTGTATTATCGACGAAAAAAATTGAATCAATCCGATAATTATAATATTTTATTTTATCCTATTTGTTTATTAAAAAAATGAATGATTTATTTTAAAAAATACACTTATTGTTTATCTTTATCAAGTTTGAAATGATTGTAAATTTTTATTCAGTCATTTTTATTTTTTATAAATAGAATAACTGTATTGTTAATTGTTAGGTTTTGGCTTATTTTAAGAAATGGATTAAAAATTATTTTTCAAATTTTAATCCACTTTCACTCCCATAAAAAAAATCAAAAAAATAAAAAAATAAATTAACTCACCAAATTTTCTTCCGCGCACGGAAGAAACGAGCAAGGATCCTCTAGAGTTTTTTTTTCCTAAAGTTTCCTAAAGTGGTGTGTTGTATGGGTGAGATTTAATGCTAAAAAATTGATGTGACTTGTCATTAAATGTCAACCATACAACACACCACTCTAGGAAACTTTAGGAAAAAAAAACTCTAGAGGATCCTTGCTCTTTAAGAAATGGATTAAAAATTATTTTTCAAATTTTAAACCACTTTCACTCTCATAAAAAAAAATCAAAAAAATAAAAAAATAAATTAACTTTTAACAATCCTTCCAAAATACCTCGTGAATAGATAAGTTGGTGCGTGCATGTCACTACGCCTATAAATGGATACTTTAATTTTTATGGATGACCTTTCGGTGCATAAAGGAGACGTGGGAGAAGATTTTTTTTTTTTATTTTTGGACGAAAAAAAAATTTGAAGCCCAAAACGACGTCGTTTTGGGCTTCGAGCCGGATTCGAGCCAAGCATTTCGGGCCCTCAAACATTATTCATACCCATAATAATTTATTTCATAGATTGTTGAGATTCTCTTAAATTGTTACCAAGTTTAAAATATTGTATATTTTTTTATTAAAATATATATAATTTCATACTTTATTAATTAATATCTTATAGATTTGGTGATGAATACCTAAAAATACTTTTATCAAGTTTAAAATAATTGTATATTATTTATAAAAAATTTATATCTTAAAAACAATATAACCATTTTTTATGGGTACAGTCCATATGGCGTAGGACAACTCAACTCACAACTGTCTTGGAAGGCCCAAACAGGCATTTAGTCATAGTCTAGTAGGTGAAACTCAAACAGCAAGCCCACCGAAGAACCCATGCTGGCCCAGACCCTGTGGCACTTAGACATCTGTTAGGCAGGGAGTTAGTCAAGTGGCAGATAAAGATCTTACAGAGTTATTGAG